CACAAGCACACCATTGCCTTACAGCATATACAGACCCTGAAAAAATTAATTGTTTCTATTAATACTATTAAAAATCTGATAAATGCATTTGTATATAAATAAAGCTTTTGGATGTTGAATATTTCACCATTTGTGCAAGGAAATTAAGGAACCATCATTAGAAAAATAGGTGTAAACATATATAATAAACATAAGCACGACTGATAATGGCACCTACAGCGTATGCAGAATGTTTGAAGAAAAGCTTCAATGGCACTGGATGCCCAGGCAACGTGTCAGGTTACAGAGTTCTGAATACTGAGTTTTACACATTATATATAGCAACAAAATATTAAGAGGCCACCAGAAATTCTTAAATCTCCCTCACACCCACATTAAGATTATTAAAAGGCATAATTTGTGTTCCATTTCATGAGAACAGTGTTGCTATAGATAGAATATACTGCATATAGACTTCTCTATTTACAAAAAAACAACAAAAAAACAATTGACGATGATGATGCAATGGCACCATATGGTGTACATGCAGTGTCTACTTGTAAAGCTGCGTCAGTGTGTATGTGTTTGTCTGCACATGTTAAAAAATTTGTGTGTAATGCATAGATGTAGATTACCTAAGCTGACCCAGCACGACACATTACTTAAACAGAAAAAAATGAATTACATGAAAATGCATTTGCAGGGTTTACAGAATCTCATTGGGTGACACCTGACACCCTTGGACAAGGTCATTCCTATTAGATGACCCTTTTAGTTTCAGCTTCCCTCTGCTATATGCTCTAACATGCATTGTGCAGTAATTTCAGGTACAGACATTATTGCGACAGAATAATTCATAATACTTGTTCAAATACAGGATTGTTTATTGATGAATACGACTAAAATGTAAATTAACTACTATTGTCTCAGCTCTTAACTGTTATGACACATCAGAAAGAGCCTCCACAAGATAACATTTAAGTCTTTGACACTGAATTGTTGCCAGCTCAGTTTTAACGGTTACCTTTGTTCTGGTACCAACTTTTTACACTAACTTTTTATTCTAACTAGCCTTACTCACTTCTAGCTAGCTGACTCACTGTGACTGCACACATTACCTTGTTAAAACTGCAGACATTGTGCTGCCAAAGATACTCAATGATACCAATTATTTTCAAAAATGGTTATAAGCGTGTGTATGATGTCAATCAGCCCCTAAAAGTCTAAGCAAAGTGTGTGTGGGGTTTGCCATTACTGGAAATAACTATTCACTGTTAAGTAGCTCACACTTTCCTATCAACATATAACCCACAGCAGTCATTTAATTAGCAACCAAAGAGTTCCTGTGTCCTGTGACTCCTAAGTTCCGACACTTGCCCAGTGGAACCAACCTATGGACTGAAGTCTGGAGCTCTGAAAGATGACACATTTTTTACATAAATTTGGTAGAAAGAATTTTGTCACTTGTGATTTGTTTGTTTGATAGTAATTGACATTATTTGTAAAATATAGTTAATGCTAAAATATATATCTCTAAATGCATTTATTGTTTAGAAAATTAGTTTAATTTATAGATTGGTGACGAATTAAAGGGAAACTGTAGAACAGTGAGGGGATCTGGTAAGACTGGTATGTTACGGGAGGCTTTTTCTGGCTTGTTTGAGACCTCCCTTAGAGGGAGATCACTGCAAATCACTCTGAAGTTGTGAGTGATCACCGTTGTCCTGGGATGAAATATTTCTATCCTGTTGGGTGTGATCTCTTCCAGGATGACAATGCCCCTATCCATAGGGTCCGTGAGGGGTCGTTGAATTTATGACTATAAATGATGTGAATCATATGCTATGACCTTCACACTTCACATATTTCAAATTGAACACTTACGGACCGACATATTAGATATCCCTCTTTTCAGCATATCATCAAAGCGCCAATTATTTTTCAGATAAATATTGTTGTAACAAAAGGGAAAAAGCTAGGATTAAATCGCATCTGAGCACTACTTCTAAACTATTCACAGTTTGTTTGTTTTTTATAAAAATGAAATGACGCAGTATTGAGACTGCACCCCATGATGCTATTTCTATTTAAATGACCAAATATTAGCCTAGTGTATGTAAATGTGCACGTGAGAGCACAGTTATTTATGTGGCACTCCCACGGGCTCAGTTCACAACTAAATAAAGCCGCAGGTCACGGTTCGACCTGTTAGTGAGTCCACTGAGACTCACACGTCTGGTGAATCAAAAAGATGTTTCAGTCTGCACTCAGAAAAAAAACAGCCAGTTAAATCTACCAAATAACTCAGCATGCAACACTTGCATGTATTGCAGGTTCAAATCCATCAATTACATTTCATGAGCAGCATTCACTGTTGTTTTATGTAGTAGATTTAATTTAATGTTGTGTATGTATTGAGCAACCTTATGCCCAGGTAAAGCTCTGTAATTTAAAATGTTTGCAGACAGAAGGGGAAACAGGAGCTTCCAGAGAAAACAGGTAATAGTTACACCTCATAATTAACAATAAGTAAGTAATTATCGGGAGGTAAACCAACACCCCAATGCTGCCATAACAAAAACAAAACCATTTAAAAAGTGCTTGACTGATTTATTGGGCTGCCTGTCTTAAAAACCACATCTGTTTTAGAAGTAGGTGAAAAAAAGTCTAAAAGCTGTATTGTTAGTTATTAGGCAAACAAAAAAGTGCCTTTATATTTATACACAAATTTGAGCCGCCACACTGGACTTCTTATGAAAGTCAGAAATGAATCATGTATAATAAAACTTTTTTTGGTTGTTGTTCAGAAAGGTAGGTAACTGTAGTTTGGCATCTTAATAAAAAAAAATGTGTGTTTCACTATTTCTTCTGCTTTTCTATAAAACAACGCATTTGAAAATTCACAGGCAACAACAATAATTATATTTTAGAAATAAAAATATGATTTGGATTAAATAGTTTACGCATACTGATGGATTAACATTAGAGAGACATTAAAAAATATTTAGTTAATTTAATTTATGGAAGCTGTGGCACCAACCTTACACTGGGTGGTGGTTTTGCATGTGACATCATCATGTCTCTCAACCCCTTCCCTTTTTTTTATAAGAAAAAGCTAGCTTTTTGTTAAAAACTCAACTATAGCTCAAATTTTAAAACAACAAGAAAAATGCACAAAATGCAAATGAATCACACAAGACACAAAATGTGGACAAAGACATGCAAAATGATTCTAAATTGTTTCAAAGAGATCCAACATGACCACAAAGGAATGCAAAACAACTACAGAGGGAGGCAAAAACTTCAACCATGGCACACAGAATTACATAAAACTGAGAAAAATCAGCTTCTATCATTGGCTGTACAGCTATTTACATAATTAGGATTGGGATGTCCTTGTGGCCTAAGAGCGTATGTATGTGTATGTGGTTTTGCATGTGACAGTGAATACCACTCTTCTCATTTGGTCTATCTCTACAGTCTGCTACAAAGTCTGATGAAGGAATAAAAGACAAGAAATATTAGATCAAATAAGCAAAAAGTGAACAATGCCCTGTCTTCATTAGCGTTATCTTTGCAGGCACTACCAAATATGCTCGGAAGAAAAAAATCCAAACAAACTGAAAAGAAAAGAAACTATATTTTATTTCATAATGTGAAGCTATCTGGTAACGGATATGACAGTTTGTAAAGTGACTTCTTCAGACAATTTGCTATAATAGGAAAAGCACATGTAGTTGTTAATAAAAACAATTCATGCTCTCAGTAAGCAAGTTGACTGTATGTTTAACTGTTGATTCGGTGGTAATGTATACATACACATATAACCTCAAAATCCCTGCACACTCTTGCGTTTGCTCAGCAACACATCTGTCATTTAGTCACTAAGACATGATTCAGAGGCGCTCTAAGTATCTATGCACGGGAACAACCCAATTAGTGTGTGTAGTTATGTCACGGCTCAAGCATCAGCATAGATCAATATAATCATTACTCCAATTTTCCCTCTTGTCATTAACAGTTGCACAGAAACTCACTTCCACATTTGCATGCATTCATGCCTGCATACACAAATCCTGGAAATGAAAATACCGAAATCACTTTTCATTTTCTCTCCCTAGGAAACCTGCTGGTTTCAGAAATGTGAAAATGCAGGGGATTGCTGGAAATGCAACACTGTCACACTTAGTGGTTGGAGTAGGCCTACACAAGCACACACACACACACGCACACAGTGTGAAATGATGACACATTCATTCAGTGACACCTGCATCTTCTGTGATTAAGATGAGCATCCACAAAATGTGCAAGTTTCTATATTCACACTGGCATACTTGAGTTATTAACCCCCCCCCCCACCACCACCACCACCCCCCTCTCTCCCTCTGTCTCTCTGCCACACACACACATACACATCATATAGAACACCTGCATCGTGCTGATATGGGAACTTGTGTGCGTTGCCACAAGAACACACGTACACACACATTTAACTAATCTAAATTCCTTTTCTCTCTTTTGGTTCCCCCACCTCCTCTGCTCCTTCCTCCTGTTTCTGTATACCCTGGCTGGGCATTGTGACTATACTGCACATGCTGACATCAGCAACCAGATGCGCCCCCTATACCTCCACCACAAACTCAAACCACACACACACACACACACACACCACTTAGGAAGCGTATATCAAACAAGTCTCGCGGGATTGCGATGTGAAAATGCAAACAAATGTGATTAATGGTGATCAGAATGGTCCACTGTTACAGAACCACCCTCGTTAATTGACTATTAATTAAACACCCAGCAACTCCTCTGTCACCTACTGTAGCCTATACCTCATTCGTGACTTGCACGGATGGATCTGCTTGTTACACGTTTGATACTGGGACATAACGTAAAGTCTGCAGCTCATTTAACGGGGAAAAAGTGAAACATTATTAAAAACAGCTGTCTGCACACAGGCCTACCTGTAGGTAAGGCCTATAAAGGCGTTTACCCACTGCACACATGGTAAAGGATATGGCCATTCGGTGATCTTTTTGGCGTATTTTCTCACGAAGTTGTCCTCGCTGAAAATGAACAGCGAACGGTTGACAGTGAAGCAGTTCTGGCGTACGGGGATGGGGTTATACAGTGCCATTGTCCGGGCTCTCTGCGCCATAGACTGCTTGTACATTCTCTGGGCCCCGGGCCCTCCAGGTGGGCCGTGGCCATGCCCGTGACCATGCCCATGACCGTGTCCGTGGCCGTGTCCATGGGGTCCTCCTTGCCTGCTACCACCCCGGCCTCCCGGGCCTCCTCCGCCAGGTCCTCCGCCATACCTGGCTGGTACCTCGTCTCCGAACCGCGCCATTCTCTGGACACCAAAAGCCAATCTTCACGAAGCAGCGGAGAAGGAGACCAATGCTCAGCTGTGCAACCACACAACATTACATCCCATCTGGATCAGAACGTCTCATATGCACAACGGGTTGTCTTGTAAGCTTATGCTGAACACCTGCACCCGGCGAGCAGTTTTGCAGCGCTTGGTTTTAGCAGACGAGGACGCCCATGTACTGTCTCCTTTTCTGTGCGTCTCTGCCAACGGCCAATTGTGGGTGTGAGGAAATTAAATGTGTGGTCGGTTGGCTGACTGGTTGCACTGTAGGGTAGTGCTGTGGGGTTTCTCAGTCTTTGTCCACTCTTATGTCCATATAAAGCAGGGTTCGCTCCCAACATGAAATCATGGTGAGACTGTAGCGAGTTAACATGAATGTTTCATGTTGCCTACGGTACAAGCCTGCCTCAGAGCGCACCCGAGCTTCCTGCACCTTGCTGGACGTTTCATGTCTTTGCTCTGACAACGTTAACGCCCGAGTATAACACAGGCCTCGATAAATAAGACTGTTAAAATAAAAATAAATAAATAATAAAACAGCTTACAGCTATCCACGACAGTCACTGGCGTTCAGGTCGGCATTTTGGAAACAGTCGCGTTTCCACAGACTTAAAGGCATTGAAATGGAAAAGCTACTATTATTTATTTATTTCTGAAACATCCGCAATGTTTGGTACAGTGTGTGGTAATAACGTGGCTCCAGCCACCTTACAGTTGTTTTACCAGTACACTCCACAAACCTTTGGACCGGAAAAATGTGACATTTGCTATTCACGAGCCTTATTTCAGAATGTGAAATTTCAGAAGGCAGCAATGAGACAGAACAAATACCGTTTTTCCGTGAATCATCGGTGTCAATGCTGTCTTAGGTGGAATAATTTTCTCAAACGATTTCATCAGCACCCATCATCTTCTATCCCTCACCTGCGTGGCCATCCAGAAGCCGAGCAAGGGACACGCGAGCGACGGCGTCAAAGACAAGGGTAAGACGGTCGCTTCTCCGCCGCTTTACACCCTCTCATGATCTTGGTTTGGCCATTCTATGTGTAGCAGTACGAAAGTCCATCACCATTCCCGCCTTTAAAGAAAAAAGTCTACCTTCGTCTGCACCGATGAGCTCAAATGTCCTGGCAGAGCGTCCTTCGTACCTCTCGCTCTCTCCCTCTCTCTCTCTCATTGGAGTAGTCCGTTCCTCACGGCCTCTTCTCTTCTCTGCTCGTCCGGCAGCCCCCAAGGGGAGGGAGAGAGGGACGAACGGACAGGATGGATCGATGGATCGGTGAATGGATGGTGACAGGATGAAAGGGAGGGGACTGACTGTTTCCCTGGGATTCGGGCCCGAGTCTGTCTATAAATGAAATAAATCGCTCCTCGCGGTGTCTCTCAGCTTGTGTGAACTAGAATGGGAGTCTGCTCAGTTCTGCAGCCAGAGCACATGACGCACGCAGCGCGTCCAACTTCCAGACCTGTGTCAGGGATGGAGGCATCGCCTACTCGCCTGTTTCTTTTAAGGTGATTCGGGCTACATAGCCCTGTCCGGCTGAACTGAAACACAGATATCCCGCTGTTGTCAAACTGAGGCGGACACTCTTGTCTGTCTTCTTCAAAATAAGTATTGTAGGGACTTTTTTTATTAGGAGCGTGTGTGCGGCGGAGGGGAACTGTGCGCGCGCAAATGTACGTATGGCGACGGGGTGGGAAGGATGCTGGGGGGGGGGGGCATTATGCAGCTCTTGCAAAGATACAGCTGCAACCCAAGCTGACAATGACTGCGCGCACACGGGCTCGTCAGTAAAGGCGCGTCAATGTGTGTACGCGCGATCCTGCGTGTGTTTGTTAGGGAAGGTGGTGTGTGCGTGTGTGTGTGCGCGCGCGCGGGAGGAGGGGGGGGCAGGCTATTCTTAGCAGCAGACATTTGGAAATTAATGGACGAAGAGAGCACTCCTCACTCCCTCCCTTCCTCCCTGAAACTGAGTCTAGGATCTTCTTTCCTGCCTTCATCGCTCCCTCACTCTCCTCTCCTCGAGGCTTTCATCATCGCTCCACCGAAAACACCGGTGCCTGCTGAAGGTGTGACCATATGGTCTGCGCTAAGGCCCAAGCAAAACAGCAAATATTTTCAGTGACAACACAGAGGGGAGACAGGGGAGGTGGATGGACGGCGCCGAGAGATGATGTGATTTATTTCATAGTGACAACATTTCTGCACACACCACCATTCCACCTTAAAGCATTTCTTTCTTTTTTTCTTTTTCTTTTCTTTTTTTTTTTTTTACCTAAAACACATCGTTTTGAAAGCAAACCTCCAAGTGGACGCGGGAGAACGGTGGCAAAGAGCTGTTGTCATATGTAATCACCCAATATACACCTTCAGCAAAATGCTGGTGCCACATTATATTAAGCCCCTAAGAAGAAGAGAGGAAGCCCAAAGTCTGGTCCAGGACAACATCCCCTTGTATGTGAGCTAATTGATTGACTCCACACATAGCCGTGTCAGTGAATGGGAAATCATCTAGCATATAGAGATTTAAGGGTGCCTGGCAAATCTAACAAATCAAATCAGCAGAGGCGTGCGGAACGTGTGAAAGCCAGTCGATACTTTGCCACCTTAAACGCCTCAAATATGTCAGAAGGGGATCGTTTTGCTCTGTGTGCACTTAAGCAAAGAATTCGGCCATGAGAGATACTGACCCCTCCTCAAGGGCATGCAGGATACAAAATTTAAATGCTGATCAGAAGCATCGATATTCTGGTAGATACATTTTTTTTACTGTTCTTTTGTTTTGTTGGTATTTTACTTTGATACAACTTTGGCAATACAATTGTATTTCAATACAATTTCAATTCGACTAAGAAAAACCTGATGACTGCTATCCTTGGCATCACTTCAGGACAATGGACAGCACCACAATTCAGCACCGTGGAGAACAACGTGAAATCAGAAACAAAGCCCCAGTGTTACAAACCTGAACGATTGCGCAAGTTCATTGTAGGTCTGACTCACAGGGAGATGCCACTTCAGACAACATGGTTCATGTTTGTGTGCGTATATACAAATTGCAATCCATTACCTTCATTTATTTAGCCACAATCCATTACATACCCATTTTCTAGCAATTGAAGCTGTTTCGGGCTATTTTTCTACTACCTTACACCATAGTCTTAGTGATTATACTCAGCTAACTGCAGTTCAGCGTAATCCTTCAATTAACTTCTTGTTTATTTTGTTGCTTTGTTTGCTTGTTTCTACCATTTTCTTTCTGTCTGTTGCAGTATCCTTTTGTGGGGGGAGGTATTTACTTTACTTTATGAGGTTATTCATGATAGTTATGATTTAGGCGATTGGGAGTAAAGTGATTTTCACAAATACACAAAGATAAAGATCTATGTGAAACACCTTTGTTGTATCATGAAGGAAGTGCTGAAACATTATCATAGCAGAAGAAGAAAAGTTAATTGTAGTACTTCCAAATTTATAATTTCTCAAATTTTACTATTTCATTTTTTCTAGAATTAGGCCGTTTGTGTGTATTTGAGTCCGACCTCAAATACACACAGGTTCATATTTTTACTTAAAATATATGTAAGTAGTACAGGAGAGTGACAGTTTCAAAGGAAAAAAATATGTTGTAATTCTCTATTTTGCATCAATTTTTTTTTTATTAATGATTAGCTCTAGTGTATTTTAAAAGAAAAGACAAACAAATCATCTTTGGATTCTTTTAAAAGTAACCAGATAAAATAATACAGCAAAGTTTTTCTTTTTTTTAACGCCAAGCACTCCAGTAGCCATGTGCAGGGGCACTGAGTTGTGGGCTTTCTTGTAGTCACTCTGGGCAGTGCCCAAGTTGGTCTGCCTGATACTGCCTTAGAGTCTGTCAGCCAGGAGCTGGTGCTTTGGCCTTTTGGTGTTACTTGCAATGCCCTTCTGAGCTGTGCTCATGTATTACTCATGTGCCTACTCATCTTGGTTGCTACGATGCCTGAGAAGAGCTTCAATGTAGTGGAGAGGTTGGTAATGGCCAAGTAGTTGTTGGGATCCTTCATGATCAGAACTGTTCTGCTCTGTGTGGATGAGAACCTGCTGTTAGCAGACCATATATTTGTGCTCAGTGATCATGGAGATCTGTTAGCTTCTTCAGCCAGTAGGTACGGATCATGTCAGGTCCTTTCTTTATTCTGGAGACTTGTTGTTGGAGGTTGCTGTGGTCTGCTCTTAGGGGCGCCAACCACTTGTTGTGTGACACCTCCTTCTCACAGATGTTTTTTCCAGTATTTGTCATTTTTAGCTCTTGTTGGGTCTGCCTTGGTGCTATTCTACCCTTTTACCTGAGAGCACACCCTCAATGGATTTTTGAAGAGCGTTTATTCTGTTGGCCTCTGCTTGTCTGGTATATCTCTTCAGTCTAGTGCCCAGAGCTATGCCTCAGCCTCTGCTATGAACATCTTGTTGTACTTTTTTTTTCATTCTGCACCTGTCCATCATGATGCCCTTCTGCACCTCACTTAATTGACTAACATCCTCCCGCACATGTTCTTCATGCTGAACTTCCTCTATCTGAATCCTTGATCTCACTGGGTCAGCTCACTTAGTTACATTCCATCAATTTGATCTTCTCAGTTCTTGTACATATGTGCCCACTTCTCATCAATATGTCCCAGTTTCTCAACACCTAACACGGAACCTGATAAGCCAGGCAATGTCCCTTGAGTACCCCTTGCCCAAGGTAGGCTGGGGTAGCATGCAGGGCCAGCCTGGGGATCCTTAGTGAATGAATCCCTGGCCAAGATTCAAAACCACAAACCTATTGTTCTAAATAAACACAAGAAAGTGATTTTGGCAAAGACGTTACGCCTTATATCATGTGACAAAATGCAGAGTTGGGATTAGTTAACACAATGATGTATTCATTATTCATTATTAACCTAATAAGATAATTATACTCTGTGTCGGCTGTTACGTTTCCTTCTTGTGAGTTATGTGCGTTAGCATTTAAATAACGTTACTAATGATTGTCATTTGAATCTTGTTTTTGAAACATTGTCTTTCCAAAACCTCTAGACTGTTACATGCTGTGTGTGTTTGTTCATAAATGTGTGTATTTACACTTGTGTGTGTTGATCTGTGAAATTATCTATTGCTGTTCAGTGCCAGAGGCTTTAAGGAGCAGCTCCTTCTGTCCAAACCTGTTATTCCACACAGCCGGCATAAGAAGCACTGCAGAGCAACAACACCAAGGCCACCCATGCACAAAACATTGTTACCTCACCAGAGCACATGAACTGTCTCTATAAAAAAGACTGCGGTAAATGATAAACAGGCTGTATTTATTGTGATTTTATCCTTACCTCTCTCATTTAGTGGAAGAAAGACGTTTTGGGCAACCCAGACTTTAGTTCATATGATGTTCACAGTAATAATTAATTTCATAAGAAGGTGCAATGGTAAAGATGCTGACATTGTTCATATCTGTCATAGAGGCATTGTTTTTTAATCCATCAAGTTAAATATCACAACTATCCCGCATACTTTTCCTGTTAAGTGCTTGTAATTGTCAGTGCAGTATGCTGACTGCTTTTTTAGAACTTCAGGTAGTGTTTTAAATTCAGTTTGGGGTCAAAAATCTGTGCAAAAGTCTCAACATATGCCTCATTTCTTTTAATACTGTCTTGAATTTGTCTTGGTCTGCAGCAATAGTTCTCCAGGTTTTGTTATGATCAAAGTTTTTCTTTGGACAATGGCTGCTTTTTACTTATTGTCAGTCCAATCCTTGTACCGCACCATTTTAGAGGAATTTTTATTGTTGTTGTTTGTTTTCTGTGAACACTGACCCCAGAATTATCCAAGCATCAAAATGTCACCTCAACTCAAGGGATGAACAAATTTTAAATTGCATCTTTTTAGACTCTTTGTTATTAGCAGCCTCTTGCAAAAGCACAAAAGAAGAAAAAAATTGCAAAGCAGGAGGTGTTGGAATTACAGAAACAATGTTTTTACTTGTTATACTTTCTTTTCATGTATGTTTGTGCATATACAAATTGCACAGCACTGTAGAATATACACAAATACGGACAACACGGACATCTTTGAAAAAAAAAGAATGTTTCTGCACAACTGGCTAGAGAACCAAATTAAGTTTGACTTTAGTCAAAGAAGGAAGATGAATAATCAGGACAGAATTACTCGTCAACCTGTTAAAAAATGATGGAATCATGGATGTAAATGCAACACACACAAAAGCTAGTCTATCCCATCCGTAGAGATTGAACATGTCTGAATAGTTCTCTGTTGTTTTTCTTCCTCTGTCAGATGTTCAAATAGCGAGTAGCTGTGAGGCTGCAGCTCAGAGGCGAGGACCTAAAAAGGAGTGTCGTGACTCAATGATTCATAAGACTGAATAATTCAATCGCTGGATGCATGTAGAGCACTCCGCCCCTGCTGAACCCGGCACTCCACAGACCAGTCGCAGATTTTCATGTAAACCTCTGTAACACTGGCTCACATTATACACAGCAAACAAAAAACGACAGATTGCTCTAAGGGTCAAACGTGTTATTTTCCTGTTGTTACAGCATCATCATCTTTACATAACCTGAATTCTGAGGTATTTGAGTACTCAGGTGTTCAGCCTCAGAAAACTGTGTGTGTGTGTGTGGGGGGGGGGGGGGGGGTGATTCAACAGAAGGCATAGTGATGCCTCCAGGAAAATCTGACCCATGATAATTCAGTGAATCACAGAGCCTTTAAATGAGTCCGCCAACTGGGAATTGAAGTATGAACCCACTCTTCATAACGCTTGTCATGGCTGGATGAATGTAATGCTGGGGGCAGCAACATGGCACCCAACAACGAAGTGGGAATCGCATCTGTTGTATGAGGAGGAGATATGTGTGTTATTGTGGATGTTCACTGACTGAGACCAATACTATAGGCTCACAGAAGGAGCTCAAATTAACCTTGTTTATGCAGTGGATTCATGCGGATGTTTGGAATCACGTGCACACATATCTGTCTCTGTAGGTGGAAGGATGGTGGACTAAAGTTTATCAGTGCTAGAAGAAGCACACGTTTTACATTTTTAAACATCCAGAATTATTAAGGTAGTTATAAGTAGAGTAAAGCAGGTGGTCCTCTACATGGAAACATCTTTTTCACTTTATCTTTGCATATTTAAATCACAATTTAACTTCAATGTAAAAGCAATGGACTTCTTGTGGGGGTAAAGGAAATACCTCACTTTCCTTCTATAAGAGTTTGCCTGGATACAAACCAAAAGAGGGAGCAGGAGAGTGGACGTGCTAACCTTAGTGGTAAGTAGGCCAAGTAAGCATTTTTTTTCTCCTTGGGATTCTCCAGTGAGGATGAAGTCATCATCTCCTCTATGAACTCCCTCCTTTCTCCTGTTTTTTTTTTTTTTCACATTCTTCATTTTTACAGCTTTCAAAATTTCGCACAGATTCAGAGTCACTCAGTGGATTAATGAAAATGTATAAACTCTTTTTATACATTTTTATTACTTTCTATGTTAGCTTTTTTTTTCTTAATCCAGTTTCTGCATAAGTTGTCATGAAAATCCTGTGCAGCAGGTTAAGAGATTTAAAGCCTGGCAATTACAAAAAAAGATCTTTGTGTATATTTTGTCAAACACTATTGATACAGTTAGTGATGAACAAATTGGGAAAAACACCACCTCCTGTGTGGAGGCTTAAACATTTTTACTAGTTGAAATGTGCTGATTAAGCTGATTCAGTTTGTAATCATGGGCATTCAGTTCCCTCCAGTGTTCACATGGATAAATTGCAGCATATGGTTCCATGTATTTATTAAACCTGTAAGAGAGTTTGCTCTCACTGAGCCTTAACTGTGGCTGGAATTAATGTACATGAAGGCGTGTTAGACATATGGGTCACATATATATGAGACCAGACCACAGGATCTGATACTGTTGACCATACTATTTTCCCTCCACAGACTTAGAAATCTGTTTATCCCAGGTTAAAGGACATACAGTGATGTGTAAAGTGTTTTCCGTCTTCCTGATTAAATTTTTTTTGTATGTTTCTCACACTTAAATGTTTCAGATCATCAAACAAATTTAAATATTAAATATTAAAGATAACACAATAAACACCAAACTTCAGTTTCGTAATAAAGGTTTTTATTAATAAGGGGAAAAAATCCAAATACTCATGGTACCATAGCAGTTCGCCATTAAAATAAATAAATAAATAAAACATTTAAAAAGAAATCTGTATAGAATATCTTTTGTATAATGTTTTATAGGGTTTTTTGTAACTCTAATTTGTAATACTATTTTTTGTAAATTTATTTTCATTCTTATCCTTTTATATGGTTTGCATGGTACGGGTGGCATTATCTTTGAGATGACGGAGGTCAAACATTTTGTTTTTCCGGCGTTTTACTGAAAAAGAAAAGACTTCGAGCCCCACAATGCTTTGCGTTTCCAACATGGCGCCTCCCATATCTGCTTGACTTATGTCAACAAGACCGAAACGCCGCTGAAGGTAAACGGGGGCTTTATAAGGACACTAACTAATAATACATCGACAGGGACGATGAAAGTGTTGTTGGCTGTGTTAAAGCAAATCTACAAGCCAGCTCTTTGCACCGGTAACCCGCGCTGTCTGAGCTCCGGGGCCACCAGCGGCCTGTTACCTCTCGGGGATGAAGCTCCAATGGTGGGCTCCAGCCCGGAGCTGGTGCAGAAGCTGCGCTCGCAGGTGGAGGTGAGGACGGACTTCATCACTGAGGCAGAAGAGGCTGCTTTTCTGCGGGAGCTGGACCCAGGCCTGAAGAAGAAACGCTACGAATTTGATCACTGGGACGATGTAAGTCAGGTTCATTGTTGACTGAAACTTTAGGAAAGTTGAATGTATTGAATATTTAAAAAGGTGTAGGTGAAGGTGGTTTACTGCACTGTGATTAGAAGTGATTCTGATAGTTTGTCTAACCCAACAACGTTTATGAGGCAGGATTAAATATTAGACAAACTTCTGACAGTAATGCAGTCCAACACCCCCCCATGACCTCAGTGATAAACAACATAAAGTACAGTAGTTCCTTTTTAACTGCATCACAGAGCTATAGCTGTATTCACACCTAACACTGTCACTGATCAGTGTAGTTGAACTGTTTTCTCTTCAGAGTAACACAGGCTGTGAGACCGACTTTGTTTTTCCTGCACATTTAGGCAATCCACGGGTACAGAGAGACTGAGCGTCTGAGGTGGGGCGCGGCATGTGAGGAGATCTTGAATCGGGTCCGATCTACAGCATTTCCTGAATGTAGCCAGCTCCTCGGCCCTGTGCACGTTATAGATTTGGACAAGACTGGCTACATCAAGCCCCACATCGACAGTGTCAAGGTGGGTTTTCCAGGATTTTTGCACAGTGGCTTTCTAAAAAAAAGTTGCACACATGGTGATCATACTCTCTAACTTTTTCCAGTTCTGTGGAAGCACCATTGCAGGGTTGAGTCTGTTGTCTGACAGTATTATGCGCTTAGTGAAGGAGGACACACCCAGTGAATGGCTGGATCTGCTGCTTTCCCGACGCTCCCTCTACATACTGAGGTGCTGCATTTGCCTCATATCTGTCTTAATGTTTCCTAAATATGACGTGTTTGAGATTTTGATTAATACACAAGGCTGAACGGTTATAGTAAAGAAGCAGCTGTGGCAGTTTGCAATTAACAAAGGTTCACCCTGTCCTTTTTACACCTGTGCAGGGACCAGGCCAGATATAAGTTCACTCATGAGATCCTGAAAAATGAGGAGTCTGTGTTCAACGGGCAGAGAGTGCCTCGACAGCGACGCATTTCTGTCATCTGTCGTAACCTTCCAGGATAAGCTCCAGCTCTAATAACAGCAGCAGATCATCAAGTCCAACTTTGAGGTTTCTGCCAGTGATACTCATGTAAATGTGTGTGTTTAGAATGTTTATTGGATGTGACGCTCTTCTGGTCATGCTGTTGAAAAAGACTATAAATTGATTCAATTTAAATGGCATTCTTCTAAATTTGCACTGGATCTTGCCGAAGACGTCGGATTTAAACGTATCTGAATGTTGTTTTCGGTTCACCTTTAAAATGTTGTTTCAGATTTATGTATTTATACAATAATTTCATCACTTTGTTGCGCTTTTCTAATTCTGTATAATACAGAGTCTCTTTGTGAAACATTTCCAATGTACCTTAGCAAATAAAATTATGATCTTGAATGTTTAAAAACTTTTAACTGAACACTGTGTGAGAACTCAAAAAATGGTTTATTAATGAATATAATTAGGAACAAATTACACAAATACGCAGCTGGACAACACTTGGAGTGAAGTGCTGTGAAACAACAGCACTTTACTCCAATTCTTTAGGTACTGACATCACTACACTAACATCTAGTGTTCTAATTGAAAACAGTGCGTCCTTCTGCTCAATGGTTTGCCTAAAAATGCACTTTAATGTTTATATTGTTTATAATTTCCCTGAGGGATCAATAAAGTATTCTGATTCTGATAAACTTTTTTGTGCTGCTGCCACTAGATGGCAGCAGCACATCTTCTCTGATAAGGCAAATTCATTGCAGGAGGAACCGCACTCTATTCGTTGATCCTAAATGAAAGGGATCAAGACATAAAGTACTTAAACATGACTTCCTGGGCAACCCTAGTTTAGACAAATACTTCTTATGTACTTCTTTAGTCTTTTAACACAGGTAAAGAAGACTGTACTAAATTATTTATTTTATTGTAATGACTGCATATGAGTTGGGTTTCAACACACTGATGACACCACAGTCGGGGAGTCAATATAATAGTATATTGCAGAGAGGAATGGGGATTAGGTCTCATTCAAAGACATGGTGGTTACAGAACTTCTGGGCCTGGGATTAAAAGGTAAAATGCATCTTTAAAGACGATGTCTGTGATGTGCTAATTATCATGTTTATTTTTATCAAACAGGGGCTCTAGACTCAGGCTGTGGAGGAGCTTCCCGGGATGCCCTGACCACTTCTTCCATACCCATGTGATTTTTTTTTTGAATGCTCTGTTGCATGTTGTATCTTTTATCTATACCATCCTTCAGGTTTTGTTTTGTCTTTTGTTGTTCATGGTCTTTCTTCTCTTTCCCAGCTGGCCAAGGCAGATGTTTGTTCTTCTCTGAGTGTGATTCTGTCTCACATATAAACCTAATGAAATGGAGTTCCTTCTCTCGACTGTTGCCAAGTGCCGGTTCATAGGGTGCTTTGTGATTTTGGGGGTTCTTGCTCTGATATTGTAGAGTCTATCCTGGTTTGAGCTGGTGCAATGCAAATATATTTCAATTAAATTGTATCTATATTGTGCTAATTCACAACAACAGTCACCTCAAGGCACTTAATTTTGCAAGATACAGTATTAGAATGAAACCCTAACAATCACACAACCCTCTATGAGCAAGCACTTGGTGACTTAGGGACATATTCAAGCACAACCAGGCTCAGGGAGGGGCAGCCATCTACTGTCACTGGGTGGGGGTGAGAGAAAAAAAGAAGAGAGCGAAGAGAAAGAGGACAAAAGGTAAACTACAGGAGTGATGGGCAGAGTTTAAGAATTGCTAATGACTGGGAGCTGGTCTCCCAGAAGAGAGGTCTGATAGCTGAAGGTTCTGCCTCCCATTCTATTTTCAAATGTCCTAGGGCCCACAAGTAAGCCTGCAGTCTGAGAGTGAAGTGCTCTATTGGAGTGAAATGCTACTATGAGGTCATTAAGATAAATGGAGCCAGATCACATAGGTTCATAGATAGATAAAACTGGGTATCATCTCCATAGCAAAGAAAATGTACCCAATGTTTTCTAAAAATATTACCTAATGAAAGCATGTATAATATAAAAAAGTACTGGTCTCATCACAGAACCCTGTTGAACTCCCTGAATAGCTTTTGTGTGTGAAAAGAGGCTCCTCGTTCACATGAAAAAACTATAATCTACATGTGTGATACATGTGATTCACTACAGTACTCTTGATACTAACAGTGTGTTCTAATCTCTGCCGTAACATATTTGGTCAGTGATATTGAATGCTGCAATAAGGTCTTGCAGGCCAAGCAGTTAATAGTCAAGAGGCCATAAGACTTTAACTGGTGCAGTTTCTGTGCCATTCTGCACTCTAAATCCTGACTAAAAGTAAACAATTCGTTTGAAAAATGTTCATTTAATTGTTTGACAACTACTCTTTCAAGACTTTTTGAAATAAAAGGTTTGAAATTGGTGTACAATAGAAGTGTTTTTGCTTCAAATCGCACCACAATCTATGTAAACTCTCACAGAAACACGAGGAAGATGAGAAACCTCAGACAACACTGCACACAAATCACTTTTACATCCCTTTAACAGTATTGGCATTTTTCATCATTAAAATAATAAAGTTACTTGCTGCCTACCAGTTGTGTCAAAATAGTAGCTTCCTTTTACGTGATAAAGGTTATCCCAGGACAGTAAACAAAGCAGCAAACTAAGGTTTTGCAAAAGATAGTCTTAGCTTCCTGATAGTTATGCAAATGAGCTTTCAAAAATATTTGCATGCACCCTATTTCAGGGTAATCTTTGTCTTTACAGAGGGAGGACAAAATAAACAATCGATGCGTGTTCTGTGCCCAACTATACTTCATGAACAACAAGCACCCAAAGTAAGAAGTGAATGGTAGTTGCTGCCATTTCTTTTTAATGCTTTCTTTGAATTATTTTCACTCTAAGCAACACACATACATATTTAGATGTTTAATGTGAAGTGTGTTTAATAAATCTGTTTATATTAAAGTACTTTCAGGAACAAGTGATTTGATAAACTGACATAAAAATAAAAAAATGCCCAGTTTTGTCCTTAAAGGACAAAAGGTTTTTTTTAACATTGAAGGAGGAGGTACAAAAACTCAAATCCTTACTTAAGAATAGTTTTATTAGAAAAAAATTTCTATGCAAGGAATTAAAAACAAACAAAACAAAACAGAACTATCAGGTTTTAACTATCAGGTCAAAACAAAATTTTTCATTCAACATAATTTCATGGACAAGTCTGTTACTTAAAGGGAACCTATTGTACTATTCCTTATTTTCTGTTATATACACATTTTTTTCTTCTCTGGGATTTTTGACGTAAATGAGAACCCTGTAAAACAACTTTTCTTTCTTTTTTTTTTAGGAAGGGCAGCCAATCAAAACAAAGTTAGCTTACCAGGAAGTGGTAGGCAGCTAAAACAAAGGATAAACTGCACTACAGCAAAGTGCAAGATAAAAAAATCTACATGTATATATTTTGAACTGGAAATCTTGCAAAGCAATTTTACTGTTTTGGAGTTCAAGAATAAAAATACAGAAAAGAAAACTGACAAAATAAGTCCGCTTTAAGGTGAAATTTCAGACTGCTGCTGAAGGCGGGTCTAGCTTCCTGTGCTGTGGCATATCACAGAACAACCTGTACAGACTATTCTTCCATGGGTTTTATTGAAAACACTATAACCTTTGAACAAAAGAGGGTCAGTTTTAGCACTTCACCACTTCTACAACCACAACATCCCTCTGTTCCTTTGGTTATTCAGTGAGGTAGAAGTGCATTTTGTCGTTTATGTTCTTGCGCTCTGGATTGAGGCGCTTAAGGATCTGTGCCAGCACGTTGACAGTCTGCTCACTGCTCAGGCCAGTGCGCTTAGTCTGGAACTTCTTCAACAAGTCTTTAGTGGTCATTGGTTTACGGATCAGGTAGCGGCGGACTGCTTCCTCTGTCAGCTGCACATCACTGTGGGGTGAATGAAAAGTAAAGAATACAGTTTAACACTCATATTTACATTAAATATCTATTGGTGTCTTTATGTTAGCCTTCTGAATCGTAAGACAAGCAGGAAGAAATAACTGTGTGTCTATGAAACTGTATTGGAAAAAAAAACCTGGACCTTACCTTGAGCTTGGGGTGGATTTGCCTGATTGGGGTTGAGGTGTGCTCTTCCCAGAGGGAACGGGGCTCTGGGTGCTGGGTTCCATCTTAAGCTTTTTGGCAGCAGGTGAGTCGATGCTAGGACCTTGTCTCTTACCTGGAGACAAGACAGAGAAGACAAGTTTGTTTGGAATGGAATAACAAAAAGAGAAGATTTGAGAGTAGAAAGCTACTTGTGAAGGTCCTGCATATATCTACGTATGTACACTATACTGTGAACGTATGAGCATTTGTGTGGGCTTTCTGAGAAATCACCTTGCTCCAGCTTGCTGGCGGCAGCACGGAGTGTGTTCGAGGTGGAGGCAGAGTCTAAGGATGGAGTTCCAGGACGGCTACCAGTCCTGGAACTGCCTGCAGAGCCGCGGCCACCAGCACGTTTAGGAGGTGTGCGTTTCTTCTGAGATAGGAAGGAAAAGACGATAATTGATGAGAACGCAAACAAAGAATGAAAAATTCCAATATAGAATAACAATCCGCACTAATATGAAATACTCCAAAGCTTCAGCATTACAAAACTGGTCGCACACTGGTCGAGCCATTGTTTTATTAAGCAACAACGGTACTGATGTTAATTATGATAATGATAGGAAAATATATTACAAACTAATTTGGCTTAAAAAGAAATAAATGTGAATTTGTTCAGTTACGCACACTAACCGCCATGAACAGAGCAGAGGCCGTCTCTCCTTCGATGTCACTGTCATCTGAGCTTTCTGATTCTCCACTGCTGTCTGTGAAGCACAAGAACATAAATCTGACTACTCATACACACACATTGCTCACATATTTTAAAATACTCCATTCAACAGTACGTGTTGTGACTTTTTTGAAAAATTTATTTTTACCTTTTTTCTTCTTCTTCTCCATTTGAACTGGGGTTTTCTTCCCTTCCTCCTCCTCTTCCTCCTCTTTTGCTTCTTCATCATTCTGTTTCTCCTCCTCACTCTCTTCCTCACTTTCAGATTCTTCATCAATCCCTACAAAAGGATAAATATTCAGAAACAATCTAAATACATTGATTAGTGAAAAACTAGACACTTCTGGCAGGTATCTGGCCATAACGTTCGTCCAGATGCGGAGCTAAGTTATGAGACCTAAGTCATTTTCAAGATTGTGTCTACTCAGGTCACCTTCCACTCACCTAACTTTTCAATGCCTAAAATAAATTTTTTGACACTGTATGCATAAAATCATATGTTTGGGGGTGCCTGTGCCGCAAAAGATAGAATGGTGCGTCTACCAATCAGCATGTTGAAACTGCGAGTCGCCTGTGATGCATCCATCAGATTGTGTTCCTTTAGGGTGTGTATGAATGTGTGTGAGACTGGGATGATCTGATATCCTCGTGTTGGTGTTGTTCCCAGACCATCATGAAAATGTTGTTCCAGGTTCAACATTGCAAGTGACCAATCACATTGTTGTGACGTTATTCTTTTGCGCGCCAAGCCATTCGTGCAATTATGAAATTCCAATGTTGCAAGGACAATATCAATTCTGCTTACTGTTTATTAAAGGGTTACGGTTAGGGTTAGGGTCAGGGTCCGTTGATCGGCGGACAGAGGCGGTTTCACGCAGCTTTAGTAGTTTTTTGTTTTACGCCATTTTTTCCCAAAGTCGCAAAAGTATGACGTCACAACATTCTGATTGGTCACTTGCAATGTTGATCCTGGAACAACATTTAGTATGATGATCTGGGAACAACACCAACACGAGGATATCAGATCAACCGTGAGACTGTGTGAACATCCAAGTACACGTCCATTTACATTTACTGTGTTTTATAGCTTCACTTTTATTGAGTATTTTTAACAATAAATTGATCTGACCTTTAGGGTGTTCCTCTGCTTTGACAGGCTTTCCCTTTTCCGGTTCTTCTTCTGAGCTAAATTTGAAACACAAAATAAATGAATAAATAAAACAACAAACAAAAAAACCCAAACATTGTTGATACAGTGTGAGTCTTTGTGTGCTACCGTGTAACGGATCTGACCTGCTTTCATCTGACATATAATCCACTTCTAGGCCCTCGTAGTCTCCGTCATCGCTGTCTTCCAGAGCCTCGTTGTCTTTACTCTTTTGCTTCCTTTTCTTTGCTTTTCCTTTCCCAGCATCTTTTTTTACCTTTGGCTTGCTCTCTCCATCTGTCCAACAAAGCCAAAGTGTTTGAAGGAAGAAAATCAAAAGATGAAAGCCGGAGACGTTTTACAATAGTCTCTTCTTCTTGTTGTGTCTTCCTCCTTACCGTCCCCCATACTGCTATCACTGTCATCACTGCTCATCTCCAGCTCGTCCTCCAGGTCATGAATGCGCAGGTCACCCCCTCTTCCGCCCCCCTTCTTTTTCTTCTTCCCAGATTTTTCTCCTTCGTCTTCGTCTTCCTCACCCCGCTCCTGCTCTCGAAGACGTCTCTGAAGCATAATGCTAAAGTGATTCACCACCTTGTTCCGCCTAGAAAAACAGAGGGTGACTGTCTTAAAATCAAACATTTAACATCTAGGGTCAACTGAGTACTTATTTTTTAAGTACTCATTTTTCTTCATCACTTTTAATCCCAAACCACCCCCGTCCTTTCCCTTTCACCTGCCCCACTCCTCCTCAGCCTCCTCAGCAGTCAGAGTTCGGTGTTTGGCCTGTGGTGTAAAGTTGTACCAGCCGTGAACAGGAAAAGCCTCGAAAGCTCCATCGGGACACTGCGTGAAGATGTAGTAGGATGCATTTTCTGTAACGCCACCCTTCTTTATACCTTTGAACCTTAAAAAAAAAAAAAAAATTCTTTACAGACATCAAGTCACTGAGATTTCTCTAAATAATAACTCTTATAATACATAATTTTATCTTGCATTACCAACACTTTTGAAGAGTAACTCAGAGGGAGTCTCTCTACTCACCTCTTGCCAGCTTTACCATTAACCTTGAGAATCCAGGGCTGGTCCTCCACTTTGAATTCACGCGTGACGATACCAAACTTCTTCCGACGAGCTTCCTCACGCTGCTTTTTGCCAAACTCACTACCTGCTGCGCCTTCAGGGGTCTCTTCCTCCCCATATATCTTCCGAGCACTCATATCTCTTTCCATACGAGCCTGGGGAAAGGAGAAAGAGCAATGGAAAAGTGAAAAAAAAACAAACCCCAGCCTACTCATTCCTAAATTTATCACATCTTTCTCACTCTCTTTTTTTTGTTTAAGGCGAATAAGACTGGCTGATATTCCTTTCTCATATCAACTCTAGCTCTGTCATACTGAAAACCTAAGCTTTGTCTGTGAGGTGTAGTTAAAGTATGAAGCCCACCTGTGTCCATGTTGAACAGTTGACTCTGTCCCCTGCATTGAAAGCCATTATATTGTACTTCTTGCTGGTGTTTCTATGCAAAGAAAAAAAAAAAAAAAAGAATATAGTGAGTTATTGTGCAACATAACTGAGCTCAATTCATTTGCGTCACAATCATCTTCTAATAGTCATGCACATGCACGTCTTCAAGTGACACCTAGAATGACCAAAACACGCATGAACACATGCAAAACAGTGACACAAGGCAAGTCCTGTGCACACAAATCTCTTTGGATATTTACATGTGTTACTCACTTGGGGACACGCACGATGTATTCTGTGGTTGAGGTGCTGCTGCTGCTTCCCTGTAAGAGAAAAAGTGTTCTTGGTGGAAGCCTGTCACATCTGAAAAATGTGCACACCATGAAAGCCATGTCGGACCAGTACAGCTCAAAAGTCTTGAGTCTCTTCCTTTATATTTACAGGTAAAATGGAAATGCAATAACTTACTCAAACCACATATAAGGTAAAAATGGAGTTTGTACAATTGTAACAAACTTTAAAGTCAATATTTGGTATAATTTGCTTAATTCTTCAACACAGCCTGAACTCTCTTATCCAAGCTTTCTTGTCATTTCTTCCAAGATGTCTTCTGTAATAGTTCCCCAGGCTTCCAGAAGAACGTCCAAAGCTCATTTTTTGACAACAAACCTAATCAGACACTTAAAATCACTGCCAACCTGCTAAACATGGACAATGTAAAGAAGACCACAAAGGATCAAAGCATTTTCAAGGAAGACTATGGAGACAAATAAAAGCGAGAAAAGCACTGGGAAAAGTGAATATTTTTTTTTGCATCTGCTGTCAATGTAGTTTTTAGAAAGAGAAAAAAAGAGAGAGAGAAAAAAAAAAAAAAAGGGAAACTGGAATTAGCCAAACTGAAATGAGCCGAACTGTAATGAGGTACAACACTGGATAATCTTTTGTGTTACCTGCCTCTTTCATGCTTGAATAATAGGTCAGTGTTAAGTGGTTGACAAACAAACCGACCAACAAAAAAACAAAAAAACAAAAACACTCCTCTGAAAATAATTAGGTGCAAGGACTGGACTGAAAATGAGTTTACGAAGCAGCCAAAGAAAACTCCGTCAGAAAGCCTGGAGAACTGCTTCCAAAGACCACTTAAAAATACAATTAATTCTGGCTACTTGGAAAAAAAACATGGAGAAATGAGGGATGGCTCAAGACTTTTGCACAGCACTGTAGATTCACGGCATTAAACATAGCACAAGAGTGGATCAAATTATCAAAAGAAAATAAAGACATACTTTTGTGTTGTCAAATGAAAGCTTACCAGTGATGTCATGGTTGGTTGTCAGTCTCTGGATTTACGACACCACATCAACAGCTGCTTTAGGCGAGGTGGACACACCGTTACGAAAACAGAGTAATGATACTAATAAGATAATACATAATAATATATAATTCAGTCAGTTTGTGTTTATTTTTAACTCAGATTATCCAGCTGAGAAACAGAGAACCGAAAAGGTCTGTGAAGGTACGATATCCCTGCACGAAGACATTCAAATAATGCTTTATAAGCGTTTTCAGCAAGTTATGACAATTTTAGGATTAAAACAAACGCGGCAGAATAAAGGAAACCTATCCCCCTTCCATGACTCATTTGTAATATTACAAGAAAGACTGACTACAGTTAAATTAGGCTAAAGTTATACGAAACGAGGTGTAACTGATGTTTATATCTTTGTACGTTAGCTTTAGCACCACATTTTGCAAGCAGCTGTAGCTGCGGTCTGTAGCTAACTGTGAAAACAAGCAGGACCACTGTAAACTCATGAGACCTATCCATCTTCGACCAATGCAAACAATATTGGAAATTAAAAAGACTAAATATGAAATATCTGCTCATAAATGATTATATACCGTCTTACCGCTGTGTGCACTCCAATTGCACTTGTTCCGTTTGCCTCTATGGTCAATAGGAAACATTTACTGTAGACATTGGTTCCTACCAGTCCCTTTGAAGGGTTCCGCTTGTTCCCTTTTATTCACCAGTTTATCTTGTTTAAGAGTTTCTACCACCCCACTACTCATCCACTGAGGAAAATATTTCCAGAAAGTGGCACTACCTTTAACGCAACATTTACAAACACGTGTGTAAGATGATATCCACAATCTGCACTAATAAACCAGTAAAATGTGTGTTTTAGGGTTTTATTAGTTTTATTTTTTTTTATTTTTTTTATTTATTTTTTTATTTTTGGCCTGTCCCGTTTGGCTCTTTTGCCATCAGAATTGTTGTCTAAAGGCAAAGAAAGATGCCCAACGGATTTACTTTACCAAACTGACCATCCCAGCCTTGCCGTAATGGTCCATTTGATTCACCTTTTATTG